TGTAGGCAAGGATGAAAAATAAAAGCATAATGGCAGGAAGTTTGTCCACCATGACTTGACATGTAGTGGCATGGCACACGAGGATAAAAAATAACAGCACAGCAACAGAAGTCTCTGTCCACCGTGACCTGACACGTTGTGGCATTGCACATGAGAATAAAAAATAAAAGCAGAATAGCTGGAAGTTTGTGTCCACCGTGACTTGACATGTAGCGGCATTACACACAAGGATAAAAAAATAAAAAGAACAACAACAGGAAGTCTCTACCCACCATCAGTTCAATGCAGGTGCTCAAGTACTAAACTCACACAAGTAAAAAAAAAAAACCAGTTGACCTGGAATGTTGGTCAGTACCTAAAATTTAGTGTCCGATGCCGTGGGACTTGGCATTGGGCACATCCTTCTTCATGTTCATGCTGAGGTTGTGTTCTTTCTTGGCCCTCTTTGCGGGGAGCCCCTTGGAAGGGTGGCCAGCAGGCACTCGCTTGTTGGCCCGGGCGATGCCTGGGCGGTGCCTGTCGATGGCCGTTAGTTGCACCTTGATGGTGCCTCCTCGCCTCTGTCCCTCAGCATACATTGCTTTTGTGGCAATGATGCAGGCCATCACTTCGGGCTCTCATATTTTCCTCATCCCCGAGAGGACCTGCCTGAGCTGCTCGCATATGTTGGATTTTCAACAGCAATTGCATGGTGTCGCCAGTGCTCCTGCTGGATCTCGCACAGGAGCTCGCCTGCTTTTTAGAAGCACAAGTGTTGTTGCACATGTCCTAGGTATGTTCAATAGCTGCCTGCATAATTTTATTTTTTCTGCTGGTTATTTTTATTACAAGGCTTTTTGGAACGGTGCATGCTTTTCTGCAGAACCTGTTACCATGAAATGTTGTTTCCGTAAATCAGATTTATACTTGGGGACATCGGTTTTCAAGCATTAATAAGATTTTGAAAGTTTATCTGTGATTTGTCCCCCTTACAGCTGAAGAACATATTGTAATATCCCAAGAGATGATTGTCGAAAAATAACCCACCCCTATTTTTAACATGATTTTCTGCTTTTTAAAAAAAAAACACTGAAAGATAGCCCATTTTAGTAATTACACTGCCCTGGGCACTGGTGACCTTGACAGAAATGTTCCTTGGCCACGACGGGAGATAAGCGAAAAGTGCTGACTGGGAAGGACAGTCATCTTTGGTTTATTGCCCCTCTCTGCAATCGCAAGTTTCGCAGGTTGCAAAACTACAACTAGCATTTTTTTCAACTTCCTTTTTTATTGCATAAGGCAACTTGGGCCATTCATTATTTTCACCCAATTTGCTTTTGATTTTTAGGTAGGCTATATCTGAGGATATTACAAGAGTTCAAATGTGCAAATTTTGTAAACAATATTTTTCTAGAAATGTTTTGCAACTTTGGGACCTGGATGCCTCATCTAAACAAATTACTCCGATGCGAGCGTCGGTTGCAGCCTGTTGACTCGAAGTTCAGAGGAGGGCTGCCGTTTGGCTCCTATGGTTGTGCAACACCTTCGTCCATGGTGGCACTGGTGGATGGGCCCATGGTGGCACTGATGGATGACCCCTGGAAGTCTTTAAAAAAGGACTCTGCCGGGCATTTCTTTCCCAAGGCAAGCAGTCCCAGTTGGTGCCGGTCACGGGGTGTAAGCACTGGAGCATTGGGAAATGGGCTCCCATAGTGGTGGTAAACCAGGGCCTGATGTTTGCTGAAGGCACCCTGCTGTCCAGCTGCACAGGTACATGTTCCAATGTCGAAGCAGATGTCGTACACCCTGCTGTTCTCTTGCCCGCTTGGGACTTGGCACATGTTGCTGTCTAGTGGAATGATAGATTCAGCAGCAGAGGCAGGCATCCATCTCAGTAGGTGGTCATACTGCAGCTGGTGGGCTGGCCTGCAATTGTGCGCATGTGAGAGAAATCTTCTCTGGAAGTAGTCCTCTCACACTGAGGCAGTGGAGTCCATCTGGGCGACGACGTTGTAGGCCTTGGGTCTGTGGAGCATGATGTCCTTGAGAATCCGAAAGGATGCTTCTGCGAAGTTGTTAGTGTTGTGGCTCCTCGTGGTAAAGCCAGAAGGGAAGAGAAGCACCCACTTGGGGAGGAATTTCAGCCCTAAAAACCTTATCACATGCTTGATATATCCCTGGTAGCATCTTCCCTGCAGCTTCCATCTCCTCGACAGATGCTGCATACATAATGTGAAGTGTGCCAAATGAGTTAAACAGCTATAAAATCGTAGCTCTAAAATACTTTATATGTTGAAACTAGTCGTTATCTTGGGAGAGGGTCATCCATGAAATTTTTTTTTAGAGATATCTGGACAAATGGTGCTAGACTTCGTTTCACGTTCCGATGAACTACAACAGTCGCTATGAGTGACACCAACCAATTGAGTGCTGACCAAGCTCTTGCGCTCTCTCAAGACACTTGCATGGCATTGGATTGAATCCGATGGCTGGTGTCTGCTGCAGTCCGTCACAAGGGTGAAATGGAGCATCAAGCCTAGCATTAAATGCCGAGCTAGAGCTTCTTTTATAGTCAACAGTTTCCTTCACCTACAGAATATAATAAGTATATAGAGGCCTTTTTGATCGTTTTCCAGCTTCACAATAAAAGCTGCGCTACACTGCAGCAATTTAGGAATTGCCCCAGTAGTGCAACAAAATGCAGAGAGATGTCCTTAGCTGGCATGCAGCAAACAATGGTGAAACCTGATGCTTTCGCAATACTGATGCTTTCGCAATACTGATGCTTTCACAATAATGTCGTGGGTGACGTGCTGTTATGCAAGGAATCGTGGCGCCGCATGGCTAATGCTGGAGGCTTCTACCTAACGGAGCACAGGCGGTGGTATCAGTTTCATTCAGACAGAAGGGGAGGGGGGAAATTGTTTGGATTACTAATCCAGTACTGCACATTAGATGACTGAAATGAGCCTGCGCAGACTGACCATTTACTTGGATGCTTTATTGAGAAATGCCATCATGGCACCTGCGAGGTCTTGCTGCGACTTTGCCACCTCTCTCTGAACTTTTACAGCGTCTTGCTGGGTCTTGAGTGCTTCTGGCTAAACAGCAAGCTCCTGCTCCCTGAGCTGAAACTCCCTGTAACGAGCAGCTTCGTAACTTGCTGGCAGTTGTGCCTGGTGGTCGATTATTACTTGCAACGCAGCAGTGCTGGGACTTCTTTCTCTTTGACCCTCTCGGCTGGGTCTAGTCTGTCGCTTCAGAGCTCCCACTGCTGCTCCCGCTACTTCAGGAAGCTGTGGCAGAATAGAAAACAGCACTGGTGCTGGCATCTGTACTCTTGTCCTCCACATCTGCAGCACGCTCCCAGTGGACGTCGTCTTCCTCGTGGTTCTCACCTTATGTCTCCGAAGGGAGCTGTGAAAAATATTAGAAGATGAGCTTTGCATATAAAAAAACATGAAATTGCAAGTGGCCAAGTATTGCCCGCATTTACCGTGCAAGGTGTTCCTCGATACGTGAGCCAAATTGTAGCTGAAAAGCGTGCAGCGCAAGGTTAATGTCATCTTGATCTCTGCTAAAGAGGCCATTACAGAGAATTTTTTTCTGGTGTAATTATTTCATTATTTACCTTCATTTTAAATTTTTTAATTTTTTTAAAATTAGTTTTATTAGTATATTATTTTTAGATTAGTAAATTGAATGGTATGCTTTTAACAAGAAACTTTATCAGCATCATTGGAAACCACTTAATTCATTTTAGAAATATATAAGGCACATACAGGGTTTTAAAGGGATGCTGAACCGAAATCTGGATTCCCCAAAACACTCGGCAAAAGCGTGCAACGGGATGCTACAAACACCAAAACATAACTCGTACAGCAATATCTCGAACGGATGACCATATTTAAAAAAAAAACGACGTATTTGGCAGGAATGTTGACGTCATGTTTCTTTGAGAAGGAGAGGGAACGACCTCGCGTCTTCTCCGCCTCACGGCCTTGAGGGAGCGAAGCGAAAAGAGGAGGAAACTAGGTATCTTGACGTTACGTGCCTCATCAGCCTGGTTCAATCTCGACTTCTTTTTCCAAAAATACGGCCGTCCATTTGAGATATCGCCTTACTAGCAGTGTTGTCAGATTGCCGAACCCGAAAGTCCCCACGTGCAGGCCAAAAAGTCCCTCTGTGTCCCTACCCGGGTGTGCAAATGTCCCTATGGTTGTCCCTACAGGTGAAAAAAAAGCCGTATTTTATTTATTTTGCTTATTTGAGCGAGCCTGTCTTCTGCACCTCTCCGTGAGCGCGTTGCAACTGATTAGTTAGCCTTTCCCTTTTCTTTTTTTTTCACAAACACGCGATTGAATTTTGTATTTAGGTCAAAGCTGGAGTTTTGGAATAATTCGCGGGTTCTAATTTTTGCGACGCGGTGGGATCTCAATATAGATTTCATTTTGTTTACATTTTACCGGAATCGTTCGCCCGATTTATTTTTTGCGAATTGTAAGCGGTTCGCGAAAATTAGGTCTTCGCGAAAATTAAGTCGTTTAGAGTATGTAAAAGGACAAAAAAAAAAAAAAATAGAAGTCAATCCAGGTATTCAGTATAACAAAGAATTTTGTGTTTATTGCATAACATACCACAGTCACTAAAACTTGAATAGCATTTTTAAGAACAGTCATGTTATAAGGTCCCTTCGTTAACAAACATGCTTCTTTAACTATTTAATTATTTCGCCCTTATAGACAGTTCAGGAAGGCGAAGAGCATAACACTGTATGACAACAAAGCACAGATTGACGAGTATATAACCAGTAAAAGGGAAAAACGAAATGTCGGGAAACACCAATAAAAAAGTACATGACGGACATGATTATATTTACAGTTTATGCACGCATACACAAAGGATTAAAATGGCTTGCCAGTCGTAACACAATATAGCACCCTTTGGAAAAGCTGAGGACAATGATACGCGAAATAGTGTCGCCACCGTCTACAATGAAATTTGAAAGGTTGTTTCATGAGATGGGAGAATAAAGTTTTGATGACGAGTTGGTCTGCTTGCGTTACGCCTTATAAATTTCGCTGGTGAACAACTTCATGTGCTTCTTTTCCACCTTGAAATTAGTGCACGTCTCTGACCTTGCAGTCATGCCAGATTTCACGACAAGCACTGCGTTGATGCTGTCCGGAGCAAGGCGGTTTCTTTTCCTCGTCTTCACGTCTGTCAGTAGGGAAAATATTCTTTCCGTTTCAGCATTGGAGTGCGGCAGTGTTAGCACCAACTTTGCCAGGCAAGCGATGTTTTCGAATTCGGGCTTGCCTTCGAAGTTTTTTAGCTTGGACATTTCGCCCCAGAATGAAGCGGCGGGCTTTTCTCGCAGAAGTGCCTTCTCGGATTCAGTGAAAAAAGAAGGCAGCATTCGCCATTCCCCTTGCAGAGCATCGGCGCGTGGCAACAAGTGTGTGTACCGCCTTTGCAGGACTGGCAGCACGGGCAGCTGTTTACGAGCTTCGTAGCTCAATGCTGTGCTGGGTTGGACGAATTGTACCTCGTGGTAGAATGGTCTGGAAACTGGGAGCCTTTTCTTCACCTCGAAGACAGCCGTCTGGTAGAACTCCAGACACCGCAGCCTCAGGTGCTTGATATCCGAGCTCCCCCCTTCCATGCTTTGAAGAAGCTCTTGGCAGCTCTCTCCGAGATATACTTCCTCCAGTGGAAGAAGAGAACGCGGATCCATGGGGTTGAGCTTCTCGACATCTTGAATTGCTTCCGGTCGCATGAAATTTTGGCAGAGGCATCGAATGAGCCTCAGGCTTTCTTGCTGCATAACAGCGATGAGGTTCTCTTTGCTCTGAAACAGAGCGTTCATTTTGTTGAAAAATCCCAAGACGTAGGCCATGAACTTCAAATACGCCTCATTAATTGGGTTCATTTCGGCCAAGATCTGCCCTGCAGCTGCAACTCTGTCCTCTACAGACGCTTGCAAGAAAAGCAACTTCAATGTGTCCCATTCCTGAAAGACGCGCTCGACGCATTTTTGCAGTGCCAGCCACCGCGTTTCGCTGGGCTTTAGGATTCTATGCTTCTCTGTTTTAAGGTATTCCTGCAGATCAGCAAGCTGAGCTTGACGCTTGCAACTATGCCCGAAGTAACTCGCGACATTCTTCAGCAGATCTTCAAGATTCCGCGGTAGCTTCATTGCAGCTTTGCTGGCAGCGATGTGTAAAGAGTGGCAGATGCACCTGATGGTCACAAAGCTTCTGTCCGCGTTCGCGTGCAGTCGGGTCATCAAAGAGTTGTGTTCGCCGACCATCACGCTAGCGTTATCGCAAGCCAGTGCGATAATGTTTTTCATTGGAATCTCCTTGTGGTTTAAGCACTGCTCAACAGCAGTTGCGAGGGACTCTGCGGAGCAACTCGTGGCGTCGAGGGGAATAACTTCAAGCAGCTGCGTGATGACATCATCTACAGCATCGCAATAATAACGTACGACACAGCAGAGGAGCTTTGTGCTCGAGACATCCGTGCCCTCATCGACGAAAAGAGAAAACCGCGTTTTTCTTAGTATGGCGGAAAGGCTCTGCACTTCTGCCTTTGCTAGCACATTTTTTACAATTGATGTGCATTTCGTCTTGTGAAGTCTCACCTGTTCTGCGATTTTAGAATCAGGAAACACCGTTTTCACGAGCTCGCCCATGTGGTCCATCACTTTGAATGACAGGGAGTGTTCCGTGATAAACGCAGAAAGCTTGATCTCTGCCATCTTCACCTTGTCATCCATGGAGTCTTTTGGCTTTTTCTGGATGAACCCTGTTAGGAGGTGTTGTTTCTGGAGGCCTAACATGGCTTTCTTGTGGCCTTGCCTTTCAGCGTGCTTTTTAAGCTCGCTACTGCCAGCGACCATACTAGCGCTGCAAACTTTGCAGAACGCCCTGAACGGATCCCCAGGGACTGCAGCCAACCAGCCCTGAAATTCCGGCTGCTCAATCCATGCATCACGAAATCTTTGCTTTCTTGACTTCGATGTTGACGAGGAACCCTCACCCGGATCCATCATGTTGAGGAGTCAGTGGAGCAATTGATGCCGGTAGATATTTCCCAAGAGATGGTTAGGAACAAATCTAGAAAGAACAAATATTTAAAAAGTTTAACGTCTTGCTAATCAATGTGACATACGTTTAACGTTCCCCTTTCCGCATGGCCGGATTTAGAACCCTGGGCTAAGGCTGCTTATGAGGCCCCTAATAATGGTGATAATACCGACTATGATAAAGATGGTGGATGGTGGTAACAACAATGACGGCATCATGTATATTTCACCACCTTATATGATATACAAATATCGTTCATTTTATGATACATCTTAGAAGGCTTTTTTTTATCGGTAGGCTTGATGATCAGAAAATTGGTGTTTCACTGGGTGAAAATGAAGCAGATGCGATTGTGCATTAAAGGCTGTTTTGTAAATACTCAATCAACCACTATGAGGTACAAAACGCAACAGAACAATTGGGGGATATGTTAAGAAGTGTCGCACACATTGAGGAGGGCCTCGTAAACCTCCGTTGAAAAGTTGAAAATGATGACTGCGTGTTCCTATGGACTTGTTTTACCAGGTTTACAACCTTATTTACGCAGTAAGTGTCTCTGCCGGCTTGCATAAATTCATCATGATGCTACAGAGATGGCACAGATGACCGCCTTCATTTCGAGTGGCATAACTCCACGGGCACAAATTGCATTCGACAGTAACCGAAAGAATACCCGCAAAATTCCCATTACAAAGAAGAAAAATTTTGTTGCCCCTAAATACATGCTTCGCGAGTCGCAACTAGAAAACTGTCCTGAAAATATAACATTTACACTCTAAAAAAAAAGGTGTCGTCTTACACCCTTTTGTCCCATATGATGCACCCCAAAACTTCAGTTCGATGTACAGCGCATTAGAGTCGAACAAACGGCCCCAACTTTTACGAGGGGCTTGATAACGCTGCGATATAACTTATGAAATAGCTAAAGTATGTGTCAAAGATCAAAGAGAGAAAACACTGAGGTTTTGCAGCCAGACCGAAAAAACACAGTTTTTTTTTTGTAGTCAGTAGCACATACATTGGTATTGTAGTACCACACACTGGTAAGTCGTAGCACACGGCTATCAAGCCTATCGTGAAAGTTAGTGCCGTCAGATCGACGTCAGTGCGCTGTACATTGAAGTTTTGGGGTGTATTATATGAGACAAAGGGGGTAAGGGCTACAGCCTTTTTTTCTGAGAGTGTATATTACAGTGATTGGAGGTTGTCTAACTAGCCTTTAATTGCTTATTGACCTGACCAGTAAAGCAACACAAACATGCAAAGCAATCTTGGTGATTAAAGAAATGGTGAACCGAAATTTGGATTAAAAGAACAAAAAACAATGCAGGAGCTGTAGGCGGGACGCTACAATCCCTACAACACTACTCGTAAGGCGATATCTCGAACGGACGGCCGTATTTTTGGAAAAAGAGGTCGAGATTGAACCAGGCCGGCGACGCGCGTGACATAAAGATATCTCGTTTCCTCCTCTCTTCGCTTCGATCCCTCAAGGCGGAGAAGACGCGAGGCCGTTCCCTCTCCTTCTCGGAGAAACAAGATGTGAACATACCTGTCAATCAAATGCGCTTCCTTTTTTTTTTTTTTTTTTTTTAAATATGGCGATCCGCTCGGGATATCGCTGCGTGAGTGATGTTTTGGTGTTTGTAGCACACCGGTTGCATGCTTTTGTCGCGTGCTTTGTGGAATCCAGATTTCGGTTCAGTATTTAGGGCTCAAACCGCTTCACCCTCTTCTAATAACTGCAACTCTTGTGTTCCAAACTAAAAAAAAATCTGCATTCAAAAAAATAAAATAAATATTTGAGACTGAATGTGATTATTTATCAATTAACCACTGTCATTCAGACACATTCACAGGCATTTCTCATGAAGATTGAGGATATATTTTTAAACTCCCCTCCTACAAAAATGTTTCAATTAGTTTTGGAAGTGGCCTTGTTTCTTCTAATTGCAGTAATTAAGAGCTTTTTTTAGCCATTTGGACATATTACTCCAAGCTACGATAAATAAGACATACCTCAGAGGCTTGTAAAAGGTTGCAGCACTCGATGGCAGGAAAAGTGTTGTCTCGCACTGGCAGACTAGACACAGGCTGCAGAGCAGTTGCTTGTAGTCACTGCTTCTCAAAAACTTTTGGAGGACATCTCAAGAGCCAGCCCCTTGAAACGCCTGTTAGTGGTTAGGAAGGATGGCTTCGGGAGGTTCACCGATATTTATTTTTGCTTGTTTTGAAACTTGTCGTTTCGGAGGAAACTTTCCATAGAGAAGTACACTAAAAGACCAAAAATGAACAAAACATGATGTGTAGCGTATGTTGCTCGTGTAGCCTTCGGCAACCCTCGCTTGCCTTCCAACCCACCATTGTCCGTAAAACGCGTCGAGGGGCACCATAGCATGTACAATAGAGAACTCCGTGACCGTCCTTCCGTCTGGCTTCAATTAGAAGATACTTCAACGGGACCGCCAGCGTCGACAGCTTTGCTCCCTTCCACAAGGAGGATGGGAGGCAACACATTTTGTTGCTCTAGCACAGTCTTTTACAATGGGCTCACAAACACCAGCTCATCTACAGGGAAGAGAATTTTATGGCACCCCTCTTTTCACCAATACAAAAAAAAAAAGAACTGGGGAAAAGCGGGGGGGGGGGGGGGGGGGAGGGGGGAGGGGGGAGGGGGAGACGACGACACTGAAAGCGGCTTTCAGAGGTCTGAGTTGTTTTGAACTAAAACCAACTTGCCTTTTTTTAGGGCTGGGCAATTATCGATTTTGTAGATTAATCGATTAATGCTTTAATCGCGGCTAAAATTTTTAACCTAATCAGTAAAATTTTGACGAACCAAAATAAAGTAAAAATTAAACGCTTCCACCACGCATACGTGGACAAGCGAGTACACCTGTATGAAGGCAAACTTTAGGTCAAATTTTAGCCTAAAGTAAACTGTACTGGCAAAAATTCTGGCTCCAGACAAGTACAGAAAATTACAGGTGTCCCTGCCACTTCAAGGCTATTCGAGTGTCCTTTCAGCGCAGCAGAGACTATTGTGAACGATCAAAGAAGGCTGCTCCTGCTGGAGAATATCAAATAAGCTCTTTTGCCGCATGCAGCTGAACTAATAATCTGCGAGTGGGAGTGTCTGAGTTGTTCTTTAGTATACATATCGAGACCGATTCATAATCCAAGTTGTATATTGCGCCTTTTATCACATATTCAGCGAAGGGAAACAAAATATATTAATCTCAAATTTTGTAATGTTATGCATAAAAATAAACGAGACCGATTAATTAATCGATTAAAGGGTGCCGATTGATCGAGTGAAACCTTCTAATCAATGCCCAGCCCTACATTTTTTTTTTTTTAATTTCCGGGGTCAGCACGGAGCCCCCTGGCAGCCTGGGGCCCTCGGCTGCAGACCCCTTAGCTCGTACATTAATCCGGGCCCTACCTTTGCAGGGCCCGACTTGCTCCCAAACCATTCTACAAGTGTGGATGACGGAGAATTTATTTTTGCCAGCTTTTTTAGTTTTTGCGGTAGTGACATATGTAACATACAAAAGACAACATTGATATAAAATGTCGAGAAAAATGACTTATCCGCTTTTATTCGGGGACGGTTCGCTCCACAATTCGTTGGTTGGCGCAATCTGATGCCAGAGGTATTCGCCCAGCTGAGCTCAACAACATATCGCACGAGGCAGATAAAATAAAGACGATAGGCTCAAACCAAGACAATAATCAAGACGACAGGCGACTTCGCCAGCCGGGCCCCTCAAAGAACGCTTCAGCCGAGGCCAACATTTGGACTACCGTAACTCGAGCGAGCACAAGCGCCACTCGCCATCCCACCTCCCTCCCCCGCCCCACAAAAAAAAAAAAAAAAAATTGAAGGTTGTCACACGAAGTCCCTACAAACTCCTCGAAAACTCAAAAACCGTCCCTACGTCCCTACAGCGTAAAAAAAACCGCGAATGTCCCTACAAGTAGGGACATGTCCCTACATCTGACAACACTGCTTACTAGTGGTGTTGTAGGGATTGTTGCGTCCCGCGTACATCTCCAGCGTTGTTTTTCAGAAATCTAAATTTCGATTCACCATCCCTCTAAGGTCTCACGAACAAAAAGCTAGATTTTGATGAGTTCCTAGGTTTCGGTTTTCAGTCAGAGCACTTCTTTGTGCCAGAGTTTCCGGCGAGATCACAGTTGAATTCTGATGCTGTTGCACAGAAACTAATGCACACAAAAGCATATACCTGAATAATCATACAAAATAAAGTGTGGTAGTTAAAGAGCAGTAAAATCACTTTGAGAAGCCGACACCTCTCGGTAGAGTCACTCTCAACTAAGGCATGCGCCATGCAGAAAACAATAGTTTGTTAAGCCGTGATGTCAATGACGTCAGGAAAGCAGTGGAAGCGATAAGCTGGTACAGCGATACAAATCCCTTTGAGGTGCATTTGTTGCCAAGGTCTTAAAGAGTCTCACCGACTAAAGCTCCATTTCTTTGCAAGTAGCGCACTGGTATATACACAAACTCAACTCTCCTACGTCACGCCGCGGTGGTGGCGCGCCGGACGCACTTCCGGTCTGGGGCGGTGGGCAGAAGTCGCCGTGCCAGACATGCATTCCTGTGTTCCTTTGGAAGAAACGAGACAAAAAAACCTGCCTTTTTGTAAAAATGCTGCGATGGGGGCTGTACCAAGAGAGTCTGGAAAGGTTTGAAGATCAGTTTTCATGTGTTTTTCCCCCTCCGTTCGTCCGAGAACGTGGATAGTAGCCGTAAATAGGGCAAACCAGACACTGTCGAACTACGATTGCTTGTGCGGGCAATACTTTGTGGTCGCCAGATGTATTTGCCTTTTTCCAACATGAGCGAGAGAAAACCTCCTAGTTGTCCGGACCACCCACGGGTTCAGTGCGTCTTCAAATTCACACGGCCGGCTGATCGTTCAAACTTTCGTCTGCTCTTTCAAACTTGTCTGCTTCTTGTAGTCTGCTCGTTCACACAAAAGCGGCCCGTAGAC